ATCAAGGCTTGTGCGAAACTTATGTGGATCTAGATAAAGAAATCTAGGATTTATCACCTTAAATGAATCCACAACACGTCCGAAGAAGTTAGAAAATGTAGGATTCATACAATGAAAGGCACAGACCCTTACGCGTCAACAACCAGCCTCGATGTGGGCGCGCCCTCACCGATAGGTAATAACAAGGATTCAAGGTCACTATAGTAGAATAACATCTAGTAGTACATCGAGTGGATAACATGGCCAAAGCAACCACTTATTTCCCTCCTACTCTAGCTAATAATTTTTTTTACTTTTAAGCAAGACACAGGTTGTCATCAAAATGTACTAAGTTTATTGCCATTAACCGAAAAGCTTAATGCGTAGCTACAGATTTGCAATGAAAATAGTGCAGCTAAAGTAACCATTGTTCGATTCTTTGAGGCGTTACTTGCTGCAGTATGTAAGTAGTTCTTTAATTTTGCGGTCAAATTTCCGAAAGCAAAAGAAGACTGAACATACGAGGACTTATTATGGCATCACGATGCAGAGTTTGCAGCCTCATTTAAGATAATGAAAGGAAAAATCTGGTTGCTATTAGAGAAAAAAGGAACTAGGCATTGATTAGGCTTGAGTACTAGCCCATCGGTTAAGAAGCCGACACTAATACAAGTTGAAATACTGTTTGACCTGTTTGTCTGGCGATTACTTTGGTATTTATCTTACCCTTGCACGCATGGGCTGGTCTTTTAGACCAGGTATACAGTCCACATTTGGCTCCACCTTGTCCCCGCATATTACAAACAAGCTATTAAAACCTGAAGTGGTACCGACATAGAAATCACCTGAAAATACTCGTAGCGGAATTATTCTCCGGAGTCCCTAATGTACGAGATTGTGTTTGATCCCGTCTTCCCTGCTAAACACCTTTTTAGACTAGTGCTCCAAAGTTAAGCTCTGGAAGCTAGTGTTCAACTGATATATACAGCCCTGATCCCTGCTCACATACGAAAAGTAACTGTTGGTAACTGGCTCGTGAGTACTTTCTCGAAGCACCGAACATATTGTAATAGCTGGTGAAGGAGGCTCTACGAAACGATGTTTTCAAGGATGTAGCTCAAAAAAGGAGAACGCAGTGTAATACCTCGCTTATGTGACCACTTGATGTCTGGCAGTTATTTTTGGGGTCGTCTCGCCCTTGGGCACGTAGGCTGGTCTTCGAGCGAAGCCATAACCCAATCTCTCCACATCTTCCGACAACTAAATGTATTCGACCTAGTTCAATGTCTTCTTCTACCCTGTGAGAGATTTTGGGTCGCTACACAGGTAGTCTACTAAAAAGTATTGTAATGAGACTTCTTTTTGATGTAAGTGAGCAATGAGTTTAGTAACAAACATATGTTCACCATGCAGAAAGGATTGGCCTTTTAATTCCACGGTGGGCTAAGCAAATGACAATCTGGAGAAAGGCCTGTAGCGTCCCGAGGCTCCAAATGGGGTAGTAGAAGGCATAAGTGAGGTTGAATACATGTATTCCGAAAACAATAGGAGAAATGGGGGCCTGAGCGTAGCCAGAAGGCCAGCCCACGTGTACTGGACCTAGACAAGTTCTAAAGTGACCGCTAAAGGTCAGATAGTCACATAAACAAAACATTACAAGGCCTACGTATTCATCGGAAAACAAAGTGGAATCCGCTGATACGTCCTTGATCCAAATAGATTTTTAGGTGAACAGGCAAGATATCACATTATCGTCAGAAAAATTGGGAGAATTTGTAGTCATACTTTTATGAGCTACGGCATTATTCATTTATGGAGCCTGCGCTCCTATGTAGGTATCAGAGAATGTCTTTTGTCACTGCATTATATCACATGGTAACGAAGTTGGCATAAGCACGTACGTTTGGTCGTGCACTAAACTTTTCACTCTATGCTATTAAATAGGGCTTGGCTACCTGAACTCCACCTCATGCAGCTTTGCAGCACAAAAGTGAAACAGTTAGGCGTCATATTAAAGAAGCAGTTTTGTCAGGATTGGACTTTTTTGACATTCCGCAACTTCAAGATTTAATGTCCTACTTATATTTTTGCATGAGTAGTATATTTAAGTCTACTCTGTTAAAGTTCGGAAAGTGAGGTGTCATATGCAGAGCTCCAAAGGTGCAGCAAACTTTTTAACACTCACATACTCATCACGTCAGATTTGCGACTGCAAAGGTCTCATTGGTGGCTCGTTGCCTTGATTTGTCGAGTAAAATTTGATAAGAGTCATGGTGGCCTACAACGACTCGTTAATTGCGGCTTGACGGTTCAGCAAAGCATAGCTTCGGTGCCTACGTGAAACCTGTTACTAATGCACATAAAAATGCGTACCCACGCACTCATACACACACATCCATACCCACTTCTCTCAACCAAACAACGTGCAGCATCAACCACCAATGGAAGCAGCAATAGCACCAGC